TAAAAGATGCACGTATAAATGATTAAGGTATATGACGTCTCCGAAGAAAAAAACGAAAATTGCACTGAGATCTCGCGATGTGCCACACACCGCGTACTGGGCGCCATCTACAAGGTATCGCACACGGCGGCGTGGCAGCCGGCAGCGCTTCCTTTTTGTCTCGCCGTCTAAATTAATGATGGCCTTTCAATAAACACGCGTAGGGCAGTCCGTCTTCCCACCATTCATCATCAGCGTCATTATCATCACCACCAGCATTCCCCCTTTGGCGATCGACTACATTTTTTTAATGTACCTTTTATGTATATTTTTTGCTCATTGTGTTGTCAAAAAAGTCCTTTGACAAAAGAGTTAGCAGATTTCGGAATAGAGTGAGTTTCATTCATTTGATTTGAGACTACATAACCCCCGAGCTCAGCCCAAGCCCAGGTAATGGGAAGCACTCATTTTACACGTCTAAATCAGCACCAACTCCTGCTCTCAATACATGCGTTCCACTTTGATTTCATTTATATACTCGACGACAGGGAAAGACTTTCCTGTACCTGACTGACCCACGCTGTGCGGGGGCGGGCCACGGGCGACACCAAGCCCGGGCCCCGAGCGAGGGTCGGGCCCCGGCCGCCCAGGCCAGTCAGGTACAGGAAAGTCTTTCCTTGTCGTCGAGTATAATCACATACGTTTGAAGAGCTGAGTATATAAAAAGTATGCAGCCATGGGCCCACTGAAAAATAAAACGAGAGAGAGAAGGAGAGAGGGGGGAGAGAGGGGGGAGAGAGAGTACGCTCATCTCATTCCCCGATTACCGCTATCATTGACACGACTTTGCTCCAGGCGGCCCAACCTCGGCCCCCTCCTGACGTATCAGGGAGTTTGCGGTGTCAGCGAAGCGGCCGGCGGCCCCGCCTCAGCCGACCGATCGGTGCTCGCGATACTATTTCGAACAGGCATGAGAGCCGCGCAATGAGCCTGGGAAAACCTTGCAGTCAAAATTTTAATTTCAGTGTAAGTTTCTTTAACTGAATAAATTGGGATAGATCAATTCCAATAACCCAGCCTAATGTCCAATGCTGGCATGGCATTTTGTTACTGATAGCGGTTCGAGAAGTGTTCTGCGAAACGATTGACAATAATAACCCTTAAAAAGAATCAGGTTTGTAATGTTTTTGTTGTGTTTTTGTTTATTTGTATTACATTTCGTGATAGGCAGAGCAAGTTCAGTAGTTTTTTTTTAGCACTGCAGCCGAGCAGCACACTCATACGCACCCGACCCACGTACGGGAGCAGCGGCTCACATAAGCCCGCGAGGGTCGCGGTCGAGTCGGCCAGTGCCAACCTTTTGACCCCATAAATAAACAGCCTGCCAGCCGGACACTCCGGGCGTGCACGCGGTGCCACGCAGTGCCACGCAGTGCCACGCAACGCCAAGCAGTGCCACGCATAGCACGTACGAATAAAACGCAGAACGCAGTCAAAAGCCTAAGTATGTGTGTACACATATCCGGTGACATCCCCGCCACACGGCCGACACAGTCTGCAGCCGCCTTATTCCTTTCGAAATCTCTCTCTCTCTCTCTCTCTCTCTCCGTGGGATATCAAGCCGATTCGAGTCGGATGAAAATAATCCGACAAGCAGTTGACACGCGGTCAGCCGTCCGCCAACGGGCGCGCGAGCTTTGGGGAGTCCGCATAGCACTGCTGATGTGCCATGTTGCGGACCGTGCGCCCATCTGTCCAACTGCCTCTGCTGCCCGTTCGCCGAAAGCTGTTATATATCCAATATGTTCCTAAAGTCGTGCTAAACACACACACACACGTGCGAGCTACCCGTAAGGCCTCTAGTTAGTGCTTTAAAAAGCTTAAAACTCCAACCCCTTTTGTAAAAGGGGCCGGACAACAATAAATCATTCTCCATTTCCGATGCGATGCCACCAAACCGCAAGGAATGTGGGCGAGCGAGCCACGTGCTATCGGCTCCTGGCCATCTTCGGACCATTAACGCTCGTCTTAATTAGGATAACAGCTGCACACACACACCAAAAAAAATCGTTCATTTTTTTTAAAATGCTAAATGTTTTGATAGGTAAGGGATATTTTAAATTTAAAATTGACACGATAGTGTGAAGTTTTGAACGGCAATTTTCTTGGCAATTTTACAGGTACATACCATGAAACGTAGGTAAGCCTAGAACTTAGCACTTTTAACATAAACAGCCAGAAATTCTTTAAGAACAATCTAAGGTGTCAAATTCTATTTTGTTTTAATAGTTTCTGTGGGAATTACCGCACCGCGAGAACCAGTACCGCCCTAGCCAAACAACATACACACTTACACACACATGCGTAAAAAACAAAACAAAGACCTGCTTGCTTCCGTATTAAGAGAAGACGACAACTATTACAGAGCTACCAAGTACATAATGTCGAATTAATTTGCGTTTAGGAAGCCATTAACGAGGAGCAACAAATCTCTCGCGCCAGCAGGGCCAGCACCCCCTACATCATAATAATAGCCAGCGGGCGCCATAAATTCAAACTGCTCCGCGAGGAGGCGCGGCGGGGCGGGGTGCCATCGGCGGATTGCTTGCCGCTACTAAATCGGAAACGGCGACATGCTGCATGACAGTATCACTTTTATCACGTCGTAAATTAAGGCGTTTGAACGATGATGACGACGTTTACAGGTGTAAGACCACCTCGGCGCGCGGTCAAACAGACTGGCCGCCCGAGGCGGAGGAGGCGGCCACGCCCTCTCCTACAGTCTAAATCTCGAAAGCTATTAAGCACCACGTGACACGATTTTTCTTTTATTTACTTTTTTTTCGCCGCCGTCGATTGACATTTTGCAATTTATGGTGATGTAATTGGTGGTGAGCGCACTCTCTCGCACTCACCGCCCGCTCACTCTCGCCCCGTCTCTCTCGCACCGCCTTGCTGCAGCCCCGGCTATAAATTACAGGCTCCCTCGGGCTGCTGCTGCTGCGGCCGCTACCAAAACAAACAGCGGTGTGATTGTGTGAAATATTTATGACGTGAGAATCGTCCGGCCCACCGCCTCGTCTTTGACCTGTTAATCGGTCGGGTTGTCGTGGCCAGATTATCAGATTAACGCGCTCACATGGGCGACCAGGGATAGGTCAGGGTGTGGCTGCAGCTCGTCTTCCGCCCACCCGATTCGAACCCCGAATCCTAGAAAATCATAATTTTGAACTTCGGCAAGAACAAGTCGGCCATCTTGTTTTGTTTACTATGTCTATTATAAATTATTTGTTAACAGTTTATATCTTTAATCTTTTTGGAATTTTATTTTGTCGAACAGTAAAACATAACCCTTTGTTTTTGGCAGTGCCACTAACAACGGGGCGCTTTCGCTTTCAGGGATGCATGGTCAGTCTCTGGTCAAGCGGTGCCGTCCTACGGTGCCCCCGGGCGAGGCACACTGTTCCCGGCACAGCCGGCGCAAATCGTTTCTGGCGGTAGGGGTCGTCGGTCAGGTGCCAATCACCAGAAGTCAAGGTCCCGCATAACGGTCCGGGGCCTGGCCTTGAGCACACACACGCACATTGTGCGGTAGAACAAAGACGCTTTGCTCCACTTGGCGCTGCTGCGGTGGGTGTGGCCGTCAATGAGCAGCGCTATGCTACTCCGGGGTGAGGGGAAAAAAATTGTGAAGTAAATGTAAATAGGACACTAAGAACCTCGCCCCTTTCCTAGTATCGTAGGTCCTCACCGGAGGTGCTCGTCATGAGTGAACTGTCCGCCCCATTCAAACGGAGTCAGGGCGACGGGCGCGACACGGGGCCACAGACGACGGCCATAGGCCGTGTGACACCCATGGAAATGGAGGTTCGCCCTCGATTTCAGGCGCGTTAGCGAAGCACCTCACGAGAAGAAACCACTTCATCAAACGCCTTGTGAAGCGGACTGCCCATGAAATGGGTTCAAAGTCATGAGGTGTCAACCGCGTGGCGGGGCACAACACTGAGAACAGTCGAGACAACTAAACCTTATCCACCCCGGCGAGAAGCGAAGCTACCCAATGTGCGTACGTCTAGGATCACAATTGGGTTGCTTTGATAAGAACAAAATTACGAATTAATATTTCAAGTGACACCCGAAATAAGGCTATAAAAATCGCGATGAAATCCGTCTGCAGCATACGAAAAACAAATACACCCAGAGAACTATTTACTTGATACAGCCAAAGTAGGCTCCTAAAAAGTTTAGTTCCTGAAACCAACTACGTTTGATTCAGTACTCGCATTTTAACTAAATATTGCTGACCCATTCAAAACCAAGTTAGCTCGACTAAATTAATCATTCAGAGTGCTACAAAAATTTCGGTTCTGAATTTGGTCCCTACGGTTTTTTTTTGTGCACATTCACAATACTAAAGCACGGAATCTGTCTGATAACCTATTGTAATATTAAAAGGAGGTAATCTGACGTAATCCAAACAAGAAACAGCTCCTGGTTCTGAGGAGCCCGCACCATAACGCAAAACCGTACTGAATAAAACGCACAAACATGCTGAAAAACACTCTCTGCTGAGACCAAAAAGGCATGAGGAGTGTGGAGAGCAGACGAGCACGTCGGCGGCGGTGTCGCGCGCGCCGCCTGCTCCGCCCACCACAAGGAGGCCGTCTGCCTGCACGTGAGGCCGGCCGCGCTGGCTCTGGGACCCTCCCCTCCCGGCCGCCCAGCCTGGCCGCACGGCCGCCGCCCTCCCCTCCGGCCGCGCGCGCTCCCCCCACCACTCGAGGCGCGCCTCCCCGCCGCCGCCGGCTAGACCCCTCCCCACCAGCCCGACGCCCAATCAACGGTTGACGGACTCGGGGCATCGCCGCGCCGCTGTCAGAGCGAGCGAGAGCGGCGCGCGCGCGGCCCGAGAGCGAGTGAGACGGTCGAGGAGCGAGAGAGAGGCCCAGACCCGGCGCGAGCGAGCGACGGAGAGCGAGCGAGCTGGCTGCTGGCATGGGGCAGGGCCGGGCCGCACTCCGTGTCTCGTCGCCGTGGACGTCGCAGGTCCTCGTCGTTGCGTTCGCGCCGTCCCGCCGTATCCGCGAGTGCACCTGTTGGGGCTGCCACCTTAGTGGGGCGCCGCGGCCCGACATGGGGCCGTTCGTGTGATTGTGTGTGTGCTTAGGTGTTTCCAGTGATGGTGGATATGCAGTGCAGTGTCAGTGAGTGCTAAAACAAGAAGAATACAGATGATCAGTGACAGCGACATCATGAGTTCGTACCAGTTCGTCAACTCGCTAGCCTCGTGCTACGCGAATCAGTCGCAGCAACAACAGCAGCAGCAACAGCAGTCCCGCACGGGGCCGTCCCCGGTGGACAGCCACCACCAGCAGCACCCAACGACGGCCACCTCGCCCGGGGGCGACTATTACAACGGCAACGGCAGCTACAGCGCGTCGCCGACGTGCTACTCGCCCCAGGGCTACCCGCAGCAGGGCTACGGACACATGCCCGGCGACATGATGGACTACACCCAGCTGCACCCCGCGCAGCGGTCGCACCTCCAGCACCACATGCCGGCCAGCCCGGGGCCCGGGCCGGCGCCCCAGACCCCGAGCGGGCTGCTGAGCCCCGTCGGCAGCGGCAGCTGCAAGTACGAGGCCATGGCCAGCGGCATGGCGCCGTCCGTCAGCTCCCCCCAGGACCTGAGCAGCTCGTCGTCCTCCGTCGCCAAAGGGACGTCGTCGTCCACCAGCAAGGCGGCCGCCTCGTCGTCCGTCACGTCGCCTGTGACGATCAGCACGCGGCCGTCGTCCTCGGCGTCGCCAGGCCTCAACGAGGCGTCGCCGTCGCCCGCCTCGTCGACGTCGTCCACCTCGAGTGGCAACAACAACAACGGGTCGTCCAAGTCGGGCGGCGGCTCGTCGGGTGCGTCCGGCAACCCTCCGCAGATCTACCCGTGGATGAAGCGCGTGCACCTCGGACAGAGTAAGTACACCTTGTTCCCAGAAAGCCGCATCATTTGACTTTCGGCTGAATAGCTTTTCGCCACCAGTTGATATCCAGGGATCATTAAGGAGCCGGAGGAGTCTAGTCGTCGCCTAGGGAACATAACGGCGACCTAATTTATGGATTCGTCATGGAAATGAAGCAGGGGCAGCTGACAGGAGACGGTTCGCGACGCCACCCCTCCTGGAAAACTTGTTAAAGGACGCTTCGACAAGTCGTTGTCATATTCCGACAGTCGCAAGCCGCAGCTCTGCAAAAGGTCGGTCCTGCAATATCAGATAGGGGGAAGCGACCGCCTGTCACTGTGGCGCAAACGCCATGAGCAATGAGCCTGTGGCAGCTTCACTTCATCACGATAACTACAAGACTTAGTAGTGCTACTGCCTAAGAAGCTATCTGAGACGGTCAATCTCAGTCTTCGATCTGACGGTATTCTTAGAAAGCGTAGTTTTCTGAAATACTTACCGCACATGTATCCAGCTTCCGCAGACCTTCCCGCTCCAGGCAAGGCTGGAGCCCGCATCGCCCGGGCTCCAGTTTCAATGAGGCCGTTTGCTGCTCTTTGAGAAGCTCCCGTTGCGCGGCGCAGGGGGCGGAGGCCGGCTCATCATGTGGTTGGTCTCATCTGTAGCAGAGATAAAAAAAAAATTAGGAGGGCATCATTTTAAGGTTTTTTGAACCTGAAACGGGAGAATCGCTTTCCAAACAGCACAGGCACAGGGACATTCATCCTCAGGATGGCACATAGCTCAAAGATCACATATGTTGTCTATTAATTTCCCCAGAAATACTTTGTTTCCTGGCAAATACTAAACAACTCCGGGATTTTAACGCGAAGGTGCACAAAAGAGGCCCAGGTACCTTCACAGATCGAATGCATGTAAGATATCGAGCAGTCAGCAACCGTCCAAAGTCTCGGAAGGAAGTCAGACAAATAGCCGTGACCGAAGGCGGCCGTTGCCAATGCAGCGTGTCACACATCGTAACGGATCCACTGCTCCCGTTTCCGAATTTTTCGGCGCCAAATTCAAAAAACCCCGAGAACAGGGGGGTGACCCTCTCTGCGGCGAGGCAAAACAGACGCGCCGCCGGGCGGGTCAGCCAGACGGAATCACTATTAATCAAAATGAAGGACCCTTTCAGCGGGGAGGAGGCGGCGGCAGCGGGGCGCGAGTCTCAAAAGAGAATGCTGCGCGCGACGAATCCCGCGCAGCGCCGAACCACTCTAATTCAACTTGAAGCAAAAGTTCATTGCTTCCCAACTTGCAAAGTGTCCGCGCTCCAGAGTCATTAATTTACTTTGGAAAGTATGTTTGGCGGGGCGGAATCTGCTCTGGCGCTGATCGAATAGCAAAGAGTGACTAACACCTTGAGAGCATTGTGATCCCCGCTGACTCCCCCCCCCCCCTTTTTCTCCCTCTACTATTTGGAAAAGTGGGCCAAAATGAAAAGGGCTGAAAGGGCTCGTGCGCGAAAGGTGAACACGTGCGATGGCTTATCAGTCCACCAAACGTGACTCGGAGGGAGGGCAATAAATAACGCACGCCAAATTACAAAGATTTTATCGGGTATTAAAAAGCCTGAAGAGCGCCCATAGTGCCCAGGTGTTAATTTTGTGAAAAGCTTTGGCTTTCATAGAGTTTTAAGAACGATTCGTTTGGTTTCGACTATACACATTTCAATTTTGCTTCACTTTTGTCGGCTTTCTTTTCATTCATGTATCCTAGGCTTGGGGGGAAATTTGCCAGATAAACTGCCGTAAAATTACAAAATGAAATTGTAAAGTAATGTATTCGATATCATTTTTACACCGAACTGTAAAGGCTAGGTTTTCTTGGTTATTAAGAATAAGCTTTCTTAATTTATGAGCGCGTAAAAATTCACAATATTAACAGCTATTTCTAAATCGAATATCAAACAACAGTTCAACCGCAGTACTATTAATTTTTTCTCAACGTGAAAAAAGGGTTTGGAATGACAAAGCTCACGCCTTAATTGTGTTGGCAACCACCACGCAAATGTCGCAAGAAGCTTTTCATAGTACTGCTCGAGATAAGGTCCGTTTTTTCTTGCGGGGTAGGCAGATGAAGAAGAACCTGCTGTCCAGAGCGAGTGAGCAGGGGTGCCACCCCAGCGAGAGCGGGACCCGCAGAGATAGTGCATGTTACACCCGGGTGTCACTTCTCTGCCTCTTTTTATCCCGGCCCCCTCCCTTACCTTTCCAATCGAACAGACACACACACACACACACACCGTCTTTTCTTTTCGTTCAAACATTCTAATAAGGGTATTTGGGGTTAGGGCGGGTGCAAGCATGACACGTATATAATTTACGGCCTCTCAGGTGACAAAACACCCACGTTTTCTGTCTCTCTCGTTCTTCCGCATTTTGGTTGTAAAGAAAAACGCTTTTACTCGTCCAAAAATAAAATGAAAACGAGAGTCTGTTGATATCGGTGATGCACCTCGTAGCCCCCCCAGACAAGTTGCCTGACTTCAGGAAGCCGATGAGGGGATCCCACTTTCCACCGGGTCAGCGGGGGGCCGGCCAAAAACTACGACCTCATAAATAACTTGGAGACGCTCCAGATATTAATTTACGACCTGTGTACGAGTGCATACGAAAATGTTTAATAAAAATGATCGCCCCAAGGGGTCGCCGGGGGGTCATTGGGGAGAAGGGGGAGGGGGCGCGTGGCGGCCGGTGGCCCCTGGAGGCCTGGAGGCCGGAGGCCCCGAGCGCGGCGCCCCGCCCCCTCGCCTCGCAGCGCGTCCGCCAAAGGAGGCGGCTCGTGAAGGAAACCTGACACGCCGGAAGGTCCGTCCTCCCGTCAGCTGCCTGCAGCCTCCACAAGAATGGCGGCCAAAAAGAAAGAAAAATCCCCTTAAAAAATTATCTTCTAGTTTTCGAATAAAATATAATATTTTGTAATTTTCGATTATAATTTATACAAACTTAACGTTGCCAAACCTCTGGAAACCGTTCCCATAGTGTAAACGACGTACAGTATCTGTATTCACTTGGGTGTGTGGAGTTCACTTGAGGGTACAACTGTGGAAAATGTCAGTGAAAATTCATACTATGCTCAGGTGTGGGATTAGGAAACAACACACATTTACTGTGCCACTTGGGTTTTCAGTGAGGAGCAGGGTATCCCTGAGGCTTTTGAGCAGCAGGATGTAACTGTAGGTCCCTCTGGAGCTGGAGACTGCTGCCGGGCTGCGAGGTTTGGAAAAGCTCAAACCAGGAAGCAGCATTCTCCTGTCTCATCGCATCCAGAATTCTCTCTCTCTCTCTCTCTCCTCTCTCTCTCTCTGGCAGTGAGACGCCCCGGCACGGGCAGGCTGGACAGCAGCGAGGCCCAGGTACGGCTTGCTGCTGCTCAGGCAAAGATTTATTGGAATCACGTCGCACCACGAATGCTAAATAAACTCTCATTCAAATCTTGAAAGTCCCACAGCAGGCTTGGCGCGGGGCCGTACGGGGCAGTACGGGGGGACTCCATATACACCGAACAAAACGGCCCAATCAGATACAGCCGTCAAGATATCATAGCACACGGCCGGACTCAGGCGCACCTCACGCAAGCGGCGCGACTTCGAAAAACTTTGACTCGCAAGGATTCGAGAAAAGGGCCCAGTACAATAGGCCGATGTACGGTGCCCGTTTTCGGTTGGTGCATCTAGTTGTCTCTAGCGGGGCGTTGTTACAGGAGCCAATTCTCATGATCACTGGACGACTGGGGAGCTGCACTTAGCTGAGGACGGGCAGGCATAGGGCATAGTTGACTAGTAAAAACATAGTGCTACGTATTTCTCGAAAACCGTGCGTGCGTGTGTGTGGAGGTGTGTGCGTGCGCGTGCGCGCGCGCGCGCGAGCGGATCTACACGGCTTATTAAATTACCTCAGCCACCGAGTCGACGGGGAGCTGTCGTTAACAAATCGGCCCAAATTTAAAACCGTCTCACGCCTTCCCAGTAGCTCGTCTGGCGCAGCGCCGCTCGCTACCAGATATTTTTATTTATACTCGCGAGAGGCGGGGAACTTCGGACCGCTTGCAATAATTGTTGCACCGTTTGCGCGCCCTCGGACCTGGCGCGCGCACGATGGTTGCTGCAGGTCCAATTTGCGATTGCGATTGTTTGACCAGCTTCGTGCGCGCTGAATAAAACAACGCGCCACGATCTGTGATGGTGATGTCTGACGCAAGAAGGGTTCTAGTTTCGATTGGGCTGCTGCTGGGCGGCCGGTGTTCTGTTCGGGTGCCTCACAGGGGGTCAGAGGCCGTGGCGTGGCGTGGTGGGGCGTGGTGGGACACTGCGCTACATTTGATTGCACTGAAAAATGGTTGGTGTCTTTAGACGCCAGGAAATTTGCGTTCAACATTTTGGCATCGAAAGACGCCGTCTTGGGCGAAAAACACACAATTTTTGCGTCACAAGACGCTTAAATTTGGTGTTCCCTGCGGGAAAACGACAAATTTTTGTGTTCAAAGACGCCAAATCTTGGCGTTCTCTCAGGGAACACCAAAATTTTGCCTCAATAGACGCCAATCAGTCTTCAGTGCGTGTGTACAAAACTCAAAACCAGACCCATTTTTAAAAAATAAAAATAGATCCAAAAATCTGACGCGTTTGAAAAATAATAATTATCTATTCCTGGTGGGGGAGCGGGATGCGGTGCAGCGCGGAGCAGCAGCGTCGTGGGTTGTTCTGTTCAAGGAGTAACGATATGGTCTGCAGGTCACGTTGTGCGCCGGCAATATTTAAGCGTCACTGTGTGCCGCTCCGCGTTCCCCGCTCCACCGCTGTATCTCCTACCCGATCCTCCTCCTCCTCCTCCTCCTCCTCCTCCTCCTCCTCCCTCTTACCCTGTTTCTCTTTTGCATTCTCACTTCCCTCTTCCTGTCCCCGTCGTTTCCTCTAGTCTCCTTCCACCTTCACCCGTTCAACCAAAAAATTTACCATTCATGAAAAAG